ACCTGGGACCCTTCAGTCCGCAGGCCGACGCTCTATCCACTGAGCCAAACCGGTTTCGGCATATTAGTATTTATTATGCTTATATATTATACTTACTTATATTATGTATCAGTAATTATCACTATTTATATATCATTTCATCACTAGTAATATATGTATAAGTATGTATATTTCCATTAGTCACAGATACTAAATTACTAATGGGATAAAATACCTGGGCCTTATCTGATTAATACTTGTTACCATTATGACCCCAATCCTGCTACTGGTGACATTCCTGGGACCACACTTCTCAGAGATGCTGGATCACTAACAGAAGCATACATCTCCGTCCCTGTCTCCTCTGTCCTTCTTACCTTTTGTTAGGGAAACTGATCAACTTAATTATGTTGCAAATTTAAAAAGTTGATATAACATGATATACCTTTAGGATAATCCTCACAATGTCAGAATAAAAAGTATATATTAGTTTGATGATATGTCTTCAACATATCTGAACTTAAGCAACAAATTGATGATCTATATAGAATGTTATGCTTTATAGCTGCAGCTTAAAAAACTAGGTATTTTTCAGAGACTGTTGCAGAAAATAGTGGTAAACAAATTGATGAATGGTAGATGCCAAGCTAGAGGACAAATGATCCTTTATTCTTGTTCTGTCACTGTCCTCTCACAATGTAGCTACTCAAATCTCAAGGCTTTCGTTGGTTCCTCTAAACCCTTTCTCACGCGTCAAGCAGGCTCAGCTTCTTAGCACCAAGTGCCCGGTAGGTTTAACCCCTTCCGGTGGCTTCTGTCTCCCCTGCACAGCTCCTCCTTTCTGCACAGCTTTTCTGAAGCCAACTCTGTGGACCTGGGTTATAATAGTGGCCCTGGAATCACCCCATTGCCTGCATCCTGCTCTGTTCTTATATTGATTGGAGTAGGATATGTGCTGGTGCCATTACGAAGTAATAGAACAAACACACAACATCCCGGGAGCTCTGTCAGCAGAACCCATTTTAAAGGGAATTTTATGGATGGCTTCTGATGAAAGGTTTTTTAGTTGTGCCATTATTTTGATCCTTGGCTGAACAATATTAGCCAATCTGTCAAAAGGAGAAAGGGTTGTGTGAGGGAAGAGCTCCAGAGGATAACATGGAGGGACAATAACTCAAAAAACCCACCAAGTTCAATTTTCCCTCAAAATCAACATGAAAAAACAATGATGGAAATCCAGATCAAAACAGTCCAGGTGCCAACTCTTCTTGGGTTCAGAAGAGCCACCTGTTCTCCTCTAACAGCAACGTTTGAAGCCAAAAGAAGTTCCATGGGTATCCCAGGTATACTGAATTAGTGAACTGGGAAAAGTCTCTCGTGTAAGACTGGGAATAGATGTTATTTGTTGTGTAATTATATGGGCTCATGAACTTTCCCAATTCTCACTAATTATAAAAGAATTTAAAAGGCTCCATGTTCACAAATTAAATGAATATACCTTTGAAAGTCCATCTGTTTTACTTGAGTTTGGCTGGAGTCAAACACCCATTCAGGGTGTCCCTCTGCAGTCAATGAAGCACGGTGAAGTGCGAAGAACACAGGGGTTAACAACAGGTTTTTAAATGTAAACAAGAAGTGTCTGATCTAGACTATCTCCAAGGCCCATTCCAACTGTAACATTCTGTGGGTCCACAAAGTATTTATTGAGTAGCCACTACATATGCAAAGCCCAGGATTCAGGCTGATGATGAAAAAAAGATCTATACGATTTCATACCTACCTTTGAAGGGCTTACATTCTAGTAGAAAAGAAAATGAGACATGTACATGAATATTCAAAATAAGAAAAAGCAAAAATAACTTTGACAATTATCAAATGAGTGCAACAGACAAACACTCTTAGGATCTACATTCTTCTGGCTAGGAGAGCTGAGAAATAATTCTCTGAAGAGGTGATATGTAAGTGAGTCCATAAATAATGAGCAGAATTTCAGTAGGTAAGAAAGAGTTTCCTTTCTTAGGTATTCAAGGCAGGAAGTAAGGCACCTTCAGAGACAGGAGGTGGGGGAGTGCCTAGTGTCCTGGAGCAATGGGTTGATTTCTGACCCAACAAGCAATTTACATGAGGACAGTGGTTCTCCAACTTCAGCACGCATCAGAGTCACCCGGAGGGCCTGCTAAAACACAGATCACGGCTCCACTTCCAGAGTGTCTGACTTAGCAAGTCTGGGTGTGGCCCGAGAATTTGTATTTCTAACAAGTCCCCAAGTGTTGCTGACCTGCTGGTCCAGGGACGGCTCTTTGTGAACCACTTCTCTCGAGAGAAGTGGAAAGCTCACATCAAAATCTCCACTCAGCTGATTTATTAAGCTTTAAGTGGCAATTATAATTCAACTAGAATTTCTTTACCTGTAAACATGTTCAACTAAATCTGCTAGAAGATGGAAATGGGGAAAGTAAACTCATATTTTTGGAAACTTCCTGTTCACCAAATGCTTTCCAGGATTTCCTCATTTAATTCCCAGCTCATTCCCACCAGGTAAATGTTATAATCCCCACTTTATAGATAAAGAAACTGGGACCCAGCCTTGGCCAGGTGGCTCAGTTAGTTGGAGCATCATCCCATACACCAAAAAGGCTGAGGGTTCGATTTCCTGTCAGGGCACGTACCTAGGCTGTGGGCTCCATCCCTAGTTGGGCGTGTACAGGAGTCAACTGGTCCCTGTTTCTTATATTGATATCTCTCTTCCTCTCTCTCTCTTCCCCTTCCTCTTTCTTTCAAATCAATAAAGACATATTCTCAGGTGAGGACTAAAAATACACACAAAAAACTGGGGCCCAGAGACTTAAAGTGTCTTACCCAAAGTCAAAGACCAGGGCAGGGATCCATGAAGAGCCAGAACAGCCCTGCTCTCTAGCATTAAGAAGTCAGTGCAGTGGGAATGCAGACTGGTGCAGCCACTGTGAAAGACAGTATGGAGTTTCCTCAAAAAATTAAAAATGGAACTCCCATTTGACCCAGTGATCCCACTTCTAGGAATATATCCCAAGAAATCAGAAACACCAATCAGAAAGGATATATGCACCCCTATGTTCATAGCAGCACAATTCACCATAGCTAAGATCTGGAAACAGCCTAAGTGCCCATCAGTAGATGAATGGATTAGAAAACTGTGGTACATCTACACGATGGAATACTATGCTGCTGTAAAAAAGAAGGAACTCTTACAATTTGCAACGGCATGGATGGAGCTGGAGAGCATTATAAGCACATGATCTCACTCATTTGTGGAATATAATGAACAACATAAACTGATGAACAAAAATAGATCCAGAGACATAGAAGCACAGAACAGACCGTCCAACCTCAGAGGGAAGGGGGAGGGGGGCGCATTAAGAGATTAACCAAAGGACTTGTATGCATGCATTTAAGCATAACCCATGGACACAGACAGTAGGGGGGTGAGGGCATGTGCTGGGGGGCTGGGAACGACTGGGGAGAGGTCAATGGGGAAAAAGAAAATATATATAATACTTTAAACCAGCGGTCGCCAACCTTTCGGACCCCATGGACCACCAGTGGTCCGCGGACCATTGGTTGGCGACCGTTGTTTTAAACAATAAAGAATTTTAAAAAAAGAGGTTAGTGTAGAGGCCTGACCTTCCTTGAACACTCTTCAAAGGAAAGCAATGGTCCAGCGATTACAAAGATAGGTATTATTTCCGTCTAAAATCAGGTCCAGAAATACCTAAACAAAGTCATCTGTATTGAATGCTGCAAGAGGTACAAGAGAAAAGTAGACCAGAGCATATTACTGTTATCTACAAATGTGGGGAGAAACTGCCTTCCAAATGATGTCTCCAGGATACCCGTGACCCCCACAAGAATGCTCCATTTCAAAGGCATACCTTTGTGTTTTCAGTTCAAATATCGAGACAGCCAGCCAGCCAGCCAGCCAGCCAGCGGACATGGCTCAGAAATCCGAGCTGGTCAGCAAAACCACTGCTTCTCCTTATTTGGATAAATAACAGCCTCAAAGACAGCCAGTTTGGGAGTCATGCATCCCTCAGGCCTGGCATGTGGCACGCTTCTCTGCCTGCCCTGCTGTGCCACGCTGTGCCCTGCACAGACGGCTGGGCAGTGGCAGCCAGCATGGGCCAGTCACTGCTTCCCCACAGGCCCCAGTGCTGCCAGGAGCCTCCTCCTCAGAGATAAGAGCTGCTTCCCTGCGTCCCAAGGACAAATGCCAGGCTTTGGGCACTCCTGAAACGGAGGC